ATAGCATGTGGCTGCTGCACAGATGTCAATGACAGGAACCCCTTTCAAGGCAGCCCAGGACATGGAGACTTCCATTAAGTTAAGTATGCCCAGGCAATAGATGGCTGGTAGCTGCTAAAGCCAGTGTGAAAGATGCTGCTTTGAGAGCAGAGAGCCCTGTTTATCTTCCAAACGCATGTAAATAGCTGGTCTGTCTTCCACACCATCACAGTAGCAGAGACGTAGCACTTCAACACCCTGACAGGACATGAGAGGTGTCTAACTGGTTAGTGTTCGCCACCAGGCTGATGGACTGGTTAATAAACCCAGGACTGAGAATTTTCAACATGAAAACCAGATTCGGTCTCAATGTTACATTCACATCATCTATATCCCACTGGAGACAGGGGCTGACCAATAATGTGTGTAGCTCGTTTGAATGCTGGAGCGCTGCCTATGTAGTCCAGGATCACGGGGAGCTCCTGCGGAAGTGTCCGGGTCAAGAGGAGTAAAGTCTCCAGTCGAAATCTCCATGCCCCTTTCAAGAAGGCCACGATCAGCTTGTGAGAGAGCAGCGGCTTACACTTTCAAAGTAGAGGGAGATCGTTCCATCTCCAGTAACTCCTGCAGGAACGAAGGCAATGTCGTCACAGACCACAAATGGGTCTATTTAGTTCCTTGAGCACCAGCCTATGAACACCCACCATTTGTCCTCGTATAAGGCAAGCACTGAAGGAGCTCTAGCATTCAGAATCGTATTTCTGACTCATGATGATAGATCTGAGGTGGCACTAAGGACCATAGTCATAGGTGCAGAAACTCTGCTCATGGATGCCACATCAGGCCCCCTGGCTGGGAGAGAAGGTCCTTCGGTAAAGGGAGCTCCCACAGAATGTCCCGTTATAAAGACAGAAGCAGAGGCAACCACGGCCATCTCGGCCGGACCTACTAAGCAGACCCAATGTTCTTCTCTCTGAACTTCTCTCTGGATTAAAGGAGCCTCTCAGGCTCTAGTTCCCACCTTGGAATTGGACGTTCTTGGCACTACAGCAAGTTAGCATGTTACAGCTAACACAATGCTGGGAGTTCATACTGGCCAGGCAGCATATATTCCCTGGGCTGCTGCACACAGTGCAGTGCCTAGGAGAGCTGGAATCATACTGACCACGTCTTGGTGAAGTCTCCAGTGGCCTGGTCTCAGCGTGTGCTGCAGGAGTGTGTCCGCTGTTGGGTTGGTCAAACCTCCTAGGTAAGCAGCTCTCAACAACAGGAACTTGGGGTGTGCCCATGTCCATAGGTCCTGCATCAGGCTTAACAGCACCCGAGATCTGGTGCTGTCATAATGGTTCACATGGTTAGTTGTCCAAATGCAAAAGGTTTTACCGCTTGCAGTTCGAGACAGTTAATATGTTTCTGGCCAGTGTCCATCGACCACCTGCCCTGAATTCACCTGTGCCACCATACTGCACCCAATCCTCTGGTAGATGCATCTGCTTTTGCTACCTCTTTGTGTGCGAGCAGCTGACCCATCATCATCCTGGACATGAGGAACTGTAAGGACCGCCATGTTCAATCAGTCACCCATGCAGAATACAATCTAATGTATGCCTGTGGCGTAGAGAGTCCAGCTGGAGAGATATAAGCCACACCTGGAAGCATCTCATATAGAGCTTCCCCAGTGCAATGACCTGCGCTGCAGCCATGAGGAATCCTTGAAGCAGCAGCAGTGTTAAGTACTGCACTCTTACTCCCAGCATCAGGCGGCCCAGCATTGTGAGCAGCAAAATCACCTGGGCTTAGTTCTTGGGCAGTGAGGCCACCGTTTGAGAGTTCAGCACCATGCCAATAAGTGCCAAGCTTGTTACTGAGTTCTACGAATAGAGGTCTTGGCTGAGTTTAGTCCTCAGAAAACTCCTGCAGCATCTCCAACGCTCCATCTAGGGGCTGCTTATAGCTGCTTTCTTCGCAGTGCACGACAGCGCTGGCAGTGCGGCTTTGCTCCAAGCTTCAATACCCACTAACCTCTCTTAGTGGCGAGCTAAGAGAATGATTGCAGTTTACTCATGGGTTAAGCAGCACTTCATAGAGGTGGTGTAACCTGAGGCACGAAGGACATAAGTCGTGGCCATCGTAAGGGTCCAGTATGGCAGGGCACTGTGTGCAGCAGCCCAGGGAATATATGCTGTCTGGCCAGTATGAACTCCCAGCATTGTGTTAGCTGTAGCATGCTAACTTGCTGTAGTGCCAAGAACGTCCAGTTCCAAGGTGGGAACTAGAGCCTGAGAGGCTCCTTTAATCCAATGGTTAAGCTTTTTCCTCAACACTGAACTCTTTCAAGGTGAGGGGAAAGCCGCAATCCTTGGTGGTCTGAGTCTACACAGAGATGATCAGCTATGGTGGATGAGGAGTGACTGTCAGCAGCCCTTAGAGGACGAAAAGAGTTTTGAAGTTCTGGTGTTGCCGATAGTGTTCGGTCTGTTAGTGAGAAGAGTTAGTGGGATAATATCGCCTCGGTGTCATCATGTGCAAGGGTCACAGGGTGACTATTTGGTATACATCTCTCGATCTGAAGCTGTGAACGCAGGGAAATATCCACTCAGTGAGTACCACACCTGGAGAACAGAAAATATGAAACATAATGTCATAGCAGGTATGTATTATAAATCGTCGCTGTCCAAAGAAAACCATGTATCTCCATTTTTGTCGCTGTTTTGTTTTATACATCACTTCGACTCACCAGCTGTCCTTTACGTTATGCTAAAATTTCAAGATGCATGGACAAAATCACTTGGAACAAAATCTTTTTACATTGACTAAAGGTAAGAGTGTTTTTGCCTTCTCCTGTAAAGTCACTATTTTGGAGATACTTGTTTTTCAGTGGACAGTGACGTAATCTGTATTATAAACATGTACTACTATAAACAGGGATGCACCAATATGGAAACTGAGGTCCTATAAACTTGGGAATAAGTATTACTCAGCAATATAACATTTATTTCTGTGGGATTATGAATGCAGTAAAATGAATAAAATGATATAAGCAGTAACCCAGCATCATATAAACTTCTGCGCTTCTAGAGTTCAGTAAATAAATTTTTAAAGCAACTATCTGCCAATATCAATATTATTTATATGATCATACTGTGTTACTAGCTATAAATCTTTTGTTCCTCTTGATTCAATGTCAGTTTGAGTGCTTCAGTATAAACAGCATTCATGAAGGTGTTAGTGGTCATTTTGTTCTTTTCACCACATTCACAGACACAGACAAAGCCTGGTCCACACCTAAATCACTCAGCTTGTATAAGAACGTCTTCAGGTTACGTGAAACTAGGTTATGTGACAGACCTACCTTAATATGTAACCACTACAGAGTGGACCCGCCCTCAAATACAGAATTAGCAAAATAAAAATTATCAAACATATCACGGGTTACATTAGTTAACCTAGCTTAATGATTAGTTAGTCTTCCACACATAATCAGTTCTCAGCCCGAGACACTGTCGCCCAGCACATGTCAGCTATTAAATTGCGTCTTACATAAAGAAGGCAGTTACATAAAAGTTTGCATAAACGTTTGGTGAGAGAACACTTCGTCAAACCTCCCGAGGCTGTGTGTTTAAACCTCGGAGCAACCGTGTTCATTTAGTTTGGTCTTGGATGTCTAAAAGTGGCCGAAACCAAACTATTCCTTCACGAAAAAAACTGTTTTGCTCTACGAGGTCGGACTCATTCTCTCCATGTCCCTCACAGCCACTGCTTTCAGGTTACACAATAGCAATGCCTGACTCGTGAACGAATCATTCTTCTGAACCGGTTGTTCAGTCGAACCGATTCACGTGTTCAACTGAATCAAACTCTTTTATGGCAGCATTAGCGCAGTTTAAATAAGGTTTTACAACAGAACAATCAAAAGGAACAACTTATATTAACAGCCTCTTTGAATTTGCCTCAGTTTTCTCTATATAGACTGCAACTGCCTCCCTCATTCTGTCCTCCCTGCTGAGAAAATTAAAATCATTAGGATTAAAACCTGATGTTTTTGCTTTTTAATAGGAATTGGCTTCATGGCTACCACTAGTTTCCTGTGGGACACCTTTAGATCCCATGAGGATCTAACGCATCTGGAATTAGAATCCTTTACACTAATACAAACCCACCAGGAAAACACAAAATACCATTAGTGAGTATTGGATTCCATCAGGAACCAGCAGAAAGTTTTAATGGTTTCTATCAGCAGGGTTGTTTATGCTTGAGTTTGATTAGAAATAGTGACAACAGACTCACTCGTTGAAGGCAGTCTCATACCTGGAGATGAGGGCTGCATCCCAATAAGTAAACAAAACTATGGGCTTTCCTTGACGGTTTGATGGATGATCTGTAGCCCTTTGCCTTACCAAGTCCGAATCTCAAATGACTCCCTACTCCCTATGTAGTGCACTGAGTAGGTTATGAAATGGTGACCTCAGCATCCAAATAGCGTATTGTAGCATCTGGGAGTCCACACTATGGCTAGTAGTGACCTTGCCTACTATCCCCAGGTGTAAATAAAGGGCACTTCCCGTAGCAGAAATCATGGTCTGTTTCTTTGCCAAGATCCTACAATACAAAATGTCCAAGCAATATATTTCGTGCATTATTTGATTGTTCAAGGCATACTTTGTGACTTATAGTGCACTATGTGGTGAGTAGGGAGCCATTTGTGGTTCAGCCTAAATATATCGGCGTTGGCGAGCATGTGGTCGGCTTTCAGGCACAGTGAAGGAAAGCAGAGAGGAAAAGCCAGTTTCATTCCACTATCCGGACGCAGCCGAGGAGAAAGTTTAAATTGTTTGGGAACCAGTGAGACACTGGATCGGACGTTCGATTCATCGAATCGCATAGTTCTGAAGAATCGGTTCGCTGTGCTGAATCGAACTTCTCATCACTATTATACAACCGCTTGTGTCATTATATAAGCGGGCCACATAGCGCACCAATGGGAGTGCCCCGTTCGCGTCACGTGCGTCCTACGTTGCCCAACAGTGGGCGGGCGGTAGCGCTCCGTGTTGTTGTGCTCGAAAAGGAGGACGGTCGTGTTTGAGTTCCGTCCATTCAAATTTACAAAAATATTCGAGTCTTGATTTCTCCGTATGAGTCTGCTGTTCGTTGCCGGTACCCGCGCCGTTTAAAATGGGAAACCGGAGGCATCGAAAACGGCCGGAGAGGAGAAACGAACGACAACGAAAACAAAACTCGGTGCAGGTCCTGAGAGGAGGAAGGGGGTTCGCCGGATTAGGCGAAGTGCAGTTTGCCGGAGAGCTCGGCTCTTACATAAAACACTGAGAGGACAGTCTCCAAACTCACCCCGGAGCACTTCTCACACAGCGAGAGAGCCTGACTTCGCACGGGAACCGACCTGAAGTCTCCAAGCGACGTCTAACCGTTTAAAACATTCAGAATTTAACGTTAAGTCTGTCGCTTATCGTGTGATCTGTCCGCGAGTGTTCATAACAAACGGTAACCGCTAGCTTAGCTGAGTGAGTGAGTGAGTGAGAGGGAGACCTTTCGTCTTTTGATTCATAACGCGAACCGAGCGGTTCACAGCCACCTTTCAGCTGTTTGGTTGGCTTTTTCATTCCGATTTTACTTTTTAAACAGCTTTTATTTTTTCGTTTGTTGTGTCTTTAAGTCGCCTAAATGTGGAACGCTCGAGCGGTCGGGGCCTACGACACCCCTGACACGTTCAGCCCGTTGGTGGACTGTCAGAGTTTTGCCTACACGTAGTGTCTCATGGCTTCAGCCGTGGTTTGCTGTTTGGCTAGTTTAGATGTTAGATTTCTCTCTAAGGTCCGTTCAAATTCGGCTCAGATGGGTCTCGGTAAGTCAACAGCAGCCGCGAGGTTAGGGTAGCGCTGGGCTTTAGGGAACCTGCCTGGCTTCTGTAGCTGCCAAACCAAAGACCTAGAAACTTTTAGACTTTCCTTTTTTCAATTTGTTAGGACTCAAATCTAATTTAGGTACGAAAATGGACGCCGGCCTCCAGCAGAGCCATACCGAGCATTTCGTTCAGCAGCACGAGCTGTCCACTCCGGGCATTTGCCCTGAAATGCTGGAAGTGGCCGATGAGGCTTGCCGGGCGGGCGATTTTGACCTGGCCGTGGAGATCTACTCGTCGCAGCTGGCTGAGCTCCGGCAGCCTGACCGAGGCTTGTGCCTTCGGAAGGCGGACGCTCTGACCAGAGGTTGCCGCATCTCCGAGGCGCTCGACTCGTACCGAGCCGCGGCGCAAGTTCGCCGGCTACGGCCTGACGAGCTCCGCCTGCTGGTGGAGAGCATCGCCCGGGCCGTCCGACTCAAGGAGCTCGGCGAAGCCTGGAAGCCGAGCGGCAGCGCCGATGACTCGGACGAAGAGGAGCAGCAACAGCCGCTTGACCTCTTCTCCTGCCGGCTGTGTAGGTGCTTACTAACCGACCCCACGACCTTGGAGTGCGGCCACACGTTCTGCAAGCGCTGCTTGGAAGACCCCGCGGTGAAGGACTGCAAGAGCTGCCGCTCTAAAACGACTAAAGTGAACGCCAGCAGCCTCAGGGCTAATGTGGTTCTTAGCAGCTTGTTGGAAAAGTGGTTCGGATCCGAGAGCAAGTCGAGGCGGTGCTGGCTAGAAGGGGAAAGCCTTTGGAAAAAACAGGAGCTCTCCAGCGCCCTGGAGAAGTACAACAAGGCGGTGGAACTGGGTAAGGGCTGCTCAATTATGTGGTTATGTATGCTTTATACAGGTGTTATATAGTTTCTGTGTGTTTTTATCCAGCGGTGGCGATTGGTTTTATAATTGGAGCAACTGACCTACTTTTTAATTGGTGGCAGTTGTGCAACAACTGCAGGGGGCGACATTGCGCCCTCTCAGTTGGCTAAACCATATCACTTCACTTCTCCTTTTTTGCACCAAAATACAAATTTGAAGCGAATATAAAATGAAAGTTTTTCAACTCGGACCACACGTGGAAATGAAGTTGTCCACTCCACACACTCAGATCTGCTTAATACTATAAAGTTCTTGAAATAAAACGAAGAATTGTTATTAATTGTAGGTCAGTCCGTCTGTTTCAGGACCACTGATCTGTATATTAAGTATATGAGGGAGCTAGTGTGCAGTTCTGTGTGTGGAGATTTGTGTTCCTGGCTTACTTTTAATTATGCAGTGTCAGAAGAGTGGCATGCAGTTTGTCATGTGCTTGTAAACTGATGACTGAGGTTAGTAAAGAATGACATACCTTCACATAGGTGATGTTCATTAATTATGAGTGGAAAAGGGGTCAGTGTCAGGGTGGAGTGGGTGAGGACTTTTGGTTGGTGCCCATATCCAGTGGCCTGTGTCTGACCTAATTTTGCCTACAAGGCCCTGGATTCTGACCCGTTTATGTAAGGGACTTGGAGGGGGCGGTGTTGATGCAGAGAGAAACAGACTTAACACAGACAGATATTCCTTATCAGGTCACTTATGGAAGAAGAGAGTCGGCGGGGGGGAGTTTGGATACAGCAGGCAGTGTCATGGCTGGGTTGTTTCATGTGGCCCAACCAGAGCTGTAGAGATTGCAGCGTTCCAGCATTATGAATCAAAATGTTGGCTGATTTTCTCTTCTGGTCTCTCACTTCCTACACTGCTGCTGCCAGTGTGGGTGTTCGTTTTGGCGGTTTGTCTCATCTCACAACATGCTGCGAAGGCAGCCAGGGAGTAAACACATATGCTCAGCTGACACTCCTCACTGGCCCACATTCTGGCCCTGTTTCTGTCTTGCTCTGAGAAATGGCAGTGAAGCTTCTCCCACTGAAACATGCATTGGCAGAGCAACTAACCTTTGGAAGTTATGTATTTCTCCGTAATGAGGACAGTGGAGTTTGTCTGGAGTCACACTTGTTGCTTTGTTATTCATTGGCAACATTTAGATGTAAAACAGGTTGACAATTACAGGTCTGTTGACAATCTTCTCAGCTTTTTTCATTAAAGATCCCATCTGTGTGACCCATTTTTGAATTATTTTCTAGGGATGCACTGATATAGGAATTGTGGGCCGATGTGTGATATGTTTCATCTACTTATCTGTCGATGCTGAATTTATAAAATATAGAAACTTGGACTAGATTCACCTGTATTTGCTCAGATTTTATAGATTTAGTGTTACAAGTCCAGTAAAATTAATGAAATGTCGTCGTCGTCATCAAATATTAGTTTGGAATGTCTGTAATCTGAACATTGGTCAAATGCTGAATATATTTTTTTGAGAAAATGTCTTCCCAGTATGATTCCGATTCATCATGCATTCTCATTACTTTCCAGCCGTCAGACTCAAGATCTCTGTGCGTAATGGGCACAGTAACATAGGCCGACTGTAAAGGCCGTTACATATGGAATGCGATGCGAATAAAAGTATGAAAATGTGAAATAATTGGACACTTTTACCTACATCAAAACTATATATACTAATTATCTATACACTAAACGCAATGTAAATTTCTCTTTTTTTTTGGTGGGGGGATGTATTTCGGCATGTCATTTGCTACACAAAAAACTGGCAGAATATCTGTCAGAAGGTCCTTTGCTTTTCACAAAAGGGGCAAACTAACACCGTGCAGGCTGCTTTCCATTTTGGAAACATGAAAGGAGAGTTTCTCCACCTCATTGAGGAACTAAAACTTCATGAACTTTCATTTACATCTCAGATCTCCAGAACTGAGTTTGAGCTGAACAAACAGGTGGAATATCTTTAAGTGCAAAAATATTAAAGTGCTCTTCAAAGAACAAGCAAACAGTGACGCTGAAGAAGAGCTTCATTACTTCATTCAGAAGCTGCAACTTTTAGTGCTTTCACATATAACTCAGATCTTCCTAGCCCAGTTTGAGTCCAATGTGAGCTGCATTTGGAGGTTCTGATCCTTTTGATGTTTGAGAATAAGTTCTAGTTGCTGGTACACAGCCCAGTTTGTCATCTTTGTTGTCATCATGCCAACTCCCGAGACGGCCGTGATTGGTCAGTGATCAAACAGAGGGTGAATAAAATAATGTTGCATTTTTGGTGTACAGGTTATCATCATACACATACTGGAATTAATTTATTGTTGTCCAAATTAATCACACTAATAAATCATGCTCTGTGTGTAAAGGCTTTAAAAGTGCCCAAGATCTGTTTGCCACTGTACATGTCGTACAATAATGCATTTTAAATGTATCTCATATTGCCATCATTTGATAATCAGATTTTTTGTATCTAAATAGTTACAGTACAAGATTACAGGTGGCTGAATTGTTGTATCAGAGTTGCACTAACATGCCACTTAGATTCTCACCTTGTAATCACCGTTTTGGCACTTTCTGGATTCTGCACTAAAAGTGCTCATCAGGCCAGACTAATGTACTAAACTGTGTCATGCGTTGTCGTTTCACATGGGAACGCTTTGCAGTGACAGGTTTCTCCATTAGTCATGTAGTGTCACGTTTCAGCAGGGATTATACAAGTGAACACCTGATGACCCTGTGTGGACTGTGAAGAGGATTTACATTAGGTCTTGTATCAGGCAGCTACAGTACATTGCAGCAGACATTGAGAGCCGGTCTCATTTTTGATGGCCTGGATTCCCTGTGTACAATGGCAGCTATAAATAGTCCTCAGCTTATGCATGATAGGTCTTAGACATTAAGATCTGATTTGGTGTCTGTTGTGTTAAGAAGAATTTAGAGCACAGTTTTTTTAGAGGTTTGAAATGCTTTGGTAGAAAAGACAGAATTGATGACATTTAAAATAAACTGTTTACTTTTTCCTCTGCTACTTAAAAACCTCTTTTTAAGGTCATTGATATTGTACAGTCTTGGCTTTGTTTTCCATCTTTGTAACTGGAGAAGCCTCTAATCCATTCATTCCGCTCCAGAAGAGGCCCTGCTAGGAACTGAAATATCAGCCAGGTTTCGCTGGCCAGTTTTTTACAGCATGTTGACTGGGGTGTATTAAACCATTTTAGTTTAAAAAAGTGCCAAAATCTGTTAGCAAACTTTGAGAAACATGTGGGGTGGCTGTAGTGTTAATTTAGTTATTTCTGATTTTGAAGAGACCAAAAATATATATAACCAGGTACACGTTTTTATTATCTGTCCCACTTTCTGTTTTACATAACAAGCCTAGTTTAACCAGACAAGTGTGCCAACACTCTGCTATCCCTGCTTTCTAGCAGACTGCTCTGTTAATCACTGCTAGATGTAAATATGTGTCCACAAGCAAAGCTGGCTAGCTAACATTAATCATCTTTAAGTATTTAGTAGGAGTTACATCTTTTCTGAGAAAACTGTGGACGTTGTCCGTAGTGAAAGAGCACTGATCAGGTGCCTGTTTTATTAAGAAGATATTTAACAAGGCTCCCAAATGGTGTCGTGCTAGGAAGATCACATTCAAGTCATGACGATGCCCTAACAAATCCAAGAAAGCAGTAATAGTCTTTTTTAAAGTCGTTTTTAAATATGGCATTAGGCCTGTCATAATTAATACATAATCTCCTCATCAGAACTATTAAAACATTATTTATTTTCCACAGTTGTTAGCTTTTACAGTCTTATGTTTACATCCCGACAAACAGCATGTCAATTGGGTGCTTCTTCATCCATTGCATTGATGCGAATGCATGCAAATAAAGGAAAGCAGAAAAATAATATATCGAGAAAAACAAAGTTTTGACTTGGTGCTGTAACACCTTTTGAAGGACACCAGTGTTGTGCATATATATATATTCTGAAGTCTGCACATTCGCTGAGTTACTAGTACTAATACACTGTATCTTTTCCAACTACTAGTCCATTGTATCTGTTCTGACTTATCAGACCTAAGAAAAAAAGAAATCCCATGATGGTTTCAAGTTTTGTGGTGTTATAGTTTTGCCACATTGCCTAAGCCTAGTTTGTAGGCACAGCAAACAGTATTGTTGATATTGTTAATTTTCCCCTCGTTTTTCAACAATAGGGAGTCAGTGGATCAGTTAAGGACACTGACTGTTCTTAGACAGTTTGTTGATTGTTATAGCAATAATATTAATATAATATCGCTAATAAAGAAAGGCTAGAGGCACCAGTTACTGTCATGCAAATAAATTATGTTGAGTGTCTGTTGTCCATCATTGTTAGCCAGTTTGCTTACCTGTTGTGAAGGAAACTGAAGGTGTTCTGGATTTAATGTATTATGTGATCTTGGTTTTATAACCTTTTTTTCTTTCTTCTGTACCACAGCACCCTCTATGTGTAAGCTGCTAGCACAGAGAGCTGGGCTGCATATGGACATGAAGAACTTCAGCCAAGCGGTCCAGGACGGGGACAGCATGTGCCGGCTCCGGCCAATCTCGGCAAAGGTATGGAAATCTATAGTAGTGTTTCCGCTCCAAAATTTATGCTGACTTTACGCTCCTGTTGAGCTTTGAGTTCGAGAGTGTAAAATAAGAGCGCATGATGTCATGCGCTGTGCTCAGTATTAAGTTGTTATGCACACTGATTCCAGAGAGCTGTTCAGTTGGCAATAGCAAGCTTGAATGATGTTTTTCAGAGGGTTGTTTCTTTCGCTGTTGTGCTTACTCATTTTTTCCCAGTCTCAGAAGCCATGTTATTTGAAAGACTGGTGCCTGCTCATTCGCTTTAGAACTAAGCAGTGTGAAAATTTACAGGAACACAATTTCTGCACATAATATATGACATTAAGTGAACAAAATGTTTAATGTATGCTGACACTAAACACTTGAATGTTATAAAAAACAAAGTGCATTTTGTGTGTATTATGAATAAGCATTGGGTGTCTTAAAAAAAACTTTTTATTAAACTTTTATAAAATATTTGTAAATATTTTAAAGAAAATAAAAAGAAATTAAATAAAAGCGATTAAATGTGGTCCAAGTTTCAAGCAATCCAGTAAGGCTGCGAGTGGGACTTTGAGCCAAACTGTAAAATAGGTTTCGGTTGTGATTTTGCTAGAAATATGTATGCATCACATAAAAAGGCCTTTTTTTGGCAAGGTAACAAGGTAAAGGCAGATTCCAGTAATCTGAAAAATGCCAAATATCTGACCAAGCCCCCCACCCCACAAAAAAATCATTCAATACTTTTGGTGTTTAAAAGAACAGGCCTTACGTCTTTGTCTTTGCATTAGGCTAACTTGGCTAATTTTGGGTTAGCATACTGCATGCTGTGTATCACTGAATATAAAATATCAAAAGTAAAGATTACACCAATGCAAGCTTGTTTATACCTGAAGTGCTGAGGCATGGTAGTGAAGCAGAGCACTTGTTTTTACACTAATGATGAATACTCTGTACTCGGATTTTCCCCTTCTGTCATTGTTCTTTTGAAGTGGAAAGCATAGACCAGGTGTTAAACCGCAAGTGGCACAGGTGCTGTGGTGACCATTTCTGCTTAAGCTATGCTTTCTTCAGAAATATGTGTGCTTACAGTGGTCATGTGTCCATCTCTACAGTTAGCATGCTACCATCACAGTGTTGCAGTGATCTTTGCTCCCCAAATTGTATGAAATCCTTTACTTTTAGGAGTTTTGGAGCAATACGACAATCTGCTCTAAATTGTACATACTGTAAGTCTTCCACTAATGTTTTCTTGTATTGTTTTGAGAACATTTCACCATCAACTCAATGCCAATCGGAAATCATAACGCATTTTCCTTCGGTATCGGAATTTATTTCTGAGTGAAACACGGTATCAGGGAGGGTCTCTGACCTAGCTAAGCATTTTGATTGATGATAGGTCGGAGAGGTAGGAGAGTTAGGCAAAACATATTGGTATATGTTATTTTTCCTTAGTGTTGCACAGTGACAGTGAAAAATTAAGAACGTTTTAGAGGCAGACAAAGTGGACTATGTTTTGATGGGAAACAAGACGTTTATCTTTTAAATAGTATAACAAGGTATGATGAACGGTGCTTAAAATGACCAGGGACACAAACTAACAGTTTTCCAGATTCATGCTAAATAGTTAGGCAGTATCAACTTTTTTTTCTTTGTCCAAATGCAGTGTTTGTGCCCTTTAACAAAGTAGAATCTTTATATGGAAATTGTTTGATGTATTATTTGTTTGTTTACAGGCCCGCTACATTAAGGCCAAGGCCTTTTGCAGTGCTGGTCGCAAGGAAGAGGCTTTGCAAGAGTACTTCTTTTGTGTAGCACTAAAACCAGACTGGATGTCCGTCAAAATGGAGGCACAGAAGGTAAACATATAGAGGATTCTTTGGAACGCACCGCCTGCTTAATCTTCCTGGGCTGCCAGTGCTTGAGTTCTAACTGCGTACTTTGTACTGAAAGCAATAGTTGGCCAAAATTCAGCCATGTTTGGTGTCAGAAGTTTGCTACTTTAGTTTTTATGTTTTAAGGATAGTGTAGCTTACCAGGTTAGCGTTGTCACATGCTTGCCTCAAACCAGGTCAGGCTGTTTAGTAATCTTGAACTAGGCTAGCTTATGTGATATCTGACAGTGTACGACATACTTTCGTCCAGTTTATACTTTTTATACTGTGGCTGCATTAGCGTTGTAGCTCCAGCACAAAACTAAAGAAGCAAGCACAGAACACCAAACGTGTCTTGTCTGATTCATTGTGTTTGGGATAAAGGGCCGAACCATCCCTTTAATGCTGACCTTTGAGTGATATGATATGATGTGATGTGTTCTTGAAAATGTTTACTCCTTGATATTTCTGAGAATAACTGTTCTGCCATGTTGTTCTGTCTACTCTGCAGGTCTTGTGTGAGATGTTTTCTTCTGTTTTTGAGGATGACGGTCTGGACACACCTTTACATCCACTTCAGGCCACAGGCCCCGCCCCTCGCATCAAACCTCTATCTCTCCTTAGCTCACTTCACTCTTCTCTGCCAAGAGATGGAGCAAGAGCTGGCTGCTCAAAGGTGAGTGCACAGACTGACTCACTTCCAAACAGAATGCCACAAGCGTCAGAACTAACTTGGTCCAAAAAGGCCAAAATGTTCAGTGTTCTTGAAAGTCTCTAAAAGCACAAGTACAATGCCAAAAAATCCCTGAATAATGCCATAAATCTAAATAACATGTTACATGTGTATATTCAAAACATTTTGTAGCTCAACATATTCTGATTCTGTTAATTACATGAACCCGACGTCCAGAAGATAGCCACTTCTTTGATTCTGCTAGCAGAGCAGTTAAGCTGCATGCACATCCGTTTTGGCAACAGCAGAAACATTTAATCAATTTCATCATGTAGAACCTGAGCTTTGTGTGCTACCATGTATTTGCCACTATATAAAATACGAAGGAGGCTTCCTTTCTTGTTGGACGCGCCTTTTTGTGAGAGCGCGAGGCTAGTCAGATCACAATTCAGATCAGTAAGAGCTTATAATTATTGTTATTTTTTGTCAGAATAATGTTAAAATCTGACCGTGACTTACTTTTCTATTCTTGTGTTTCTCTTGTAAATGAAAATCTTAATTTTCAGCTTTGTTACATCGCATTCTTCACGTCAGAATAAACACAACAGCACTGAGAAATTAATGGGTTAACAGAGAGAATAGATCAAATGGCAGAAATAGCCTCCTTTTTGCATTAGCCCTAAAGGCTTAAAATGTTCTTTTGTGTATTTCGTGATTAGTCTAATTAGGCTGTGCAATATTCCTCTCACAGGACCTTGCATTCAGTAGCAGTAAAGCATGTGACAGTGGGAGCTCCTCATCCTTAAACCAGCCTGAGCACAGCTTGGATGACTCCAAGAGTCTGGCAGCTGTCCTCTCCTCACTGCCTGTACCTGCGGGTCTTAAAAGGAAGAGTCCTGGTGATGCCAATGCCTTTGGGCCCCCTAATAAAGTTCTCAAACAAGGTATGAGTGACCTGGTAAATACAGACAGAAACAACTCTGTGTGGGATGATAGAATTTCGGATGTATTCCTTCTGTAGACAAACTGTTAGTTTGTTTGTAGTTACTTAGATTGTCTATCTCTGTTACCTGCTTACCTTGTGCGTGTCTCTGTGTTCCTCCTTGATTTCCGTGCTCAGATCCAGCCTGTTCGTCTCAGACTTCTCCTGCCTTAAATGGCTCAAGGGAGGTACCAACGCAGCTGTTGGACAGTTCAGACATGGAGTGTTCTTTGTGCATGAGGTAACTATGTGCTTGGACACATTGTGCTTGCCATTTTTAAAAATGCATTAAGTTCATTGAGTTAGGAAACAAAATTTAAAACCGAGTGGCATTTATTTTGAACACAGTTTCCAGACTGTAATTTTCTTTTTGGCAAAGTGCTGATGCTTCAGATCGTTATCGTTTGAGCAGTTTCTTTGCAGACTTCTGCATCCAAAATGTCTTTGTGCACTTCTGAGTTCATGATCCCATCAATGAATACAAGCTCACGGACGGCATTGCAAAAACACAGCCCCAGATTCCATGACCGTGTTTTTCGCAGTACACTTAGTGCAGTCTGGTTCGAATTCTTCTCCAGGCTTTCTCCACGCTAGTGAAGAGTTTACCATCAGTTTGCTGTTGTGCTAAAAGTGGTTTTCTCTAAAACGTTAGTCCTGTCAAACATTTTTATGAAGTAGATGATGATTTAGTAATGTCTTTAAATTTTGATTTAGTTTTGTTTTTTTTGAAGAAGTAATGTTTTGGAAGGTTTATAGGTTTAATGCATTCTGCATTAAGTTATTACTGTCTTTTTCTAGGTTGTTTTATGAGCCTGTCACCACCCCCTGTGGGCACACCTTCTGTCTCAAGTGTCTGGAGCGCTGCCTGGACCACAACTCCAACTGCCCACTGTGCAAGGAGAACCTTTCTGAAGTACTTGTGCATCTATTTAATTGTCAAACTTGTGCTCCCTTTTAGATTCTCTCTCTCACTCTTTTACTCTTGCTTTCTCTTTCTTGTACTCTATCGCTCTCACAGCCATTAATGCTTTCTAAGACTTTTGATTTTGTGGCATTCTTTCACATTGTGTGTTTTTAGGTTGCAGTATTGCAGTAAAAATAACTGACCAGTTATAAATGACTTTTCCGAGTATGCTGCTATAAAAATGGTCACAGGCCACAGTTAATTGATCTTTCTGAAAAATCTTTGTTAGTAAAATGATTCTCTTTGGTTGTAATTACAGTATCTGGCCACTAGAGGGTACAATAAGACTTTTCTGATGGAAGAGGTGCTACAGCGCTATTTGAGTGAGGAGCTGGAGGAGCGCCGGAAAATACACGAAGAAGAAATGAAGGAACTTTCAAAGTGAGTCTGTTCTTTCTGATCCCTGTACCTTTCTTTTTGCCCTGTGAGCCCCTGTCTCTGTTTTGAAATTAAGCTCTAAAATAAAGTGTAAAGTGTATAAAAACCCATGTCTTTACTGTGATGGTGATGGTTTTGCCAGTGCATAACGATAAAATTCATTTAATTGTCAAATTTTTCCATTGCAGCTTGAATGTGGAAGTGCCTATCTTTGTCTGCACAATGGCATTTCCCACAATCCCCTGCCCACTACACGTCTTTGAGCCTCGCTATAGACTGATGATTCGCAGGGCTATGGAAACGGGAACTAAGCAGTTTGGCATGTGTATTTCTGATGAACTGAAAGGGTAAGCAGGTTCGACATAACATTTGAATTAGAGTGCAGATAACAAACCACGAATGGAATTAATCATAGTTTTAGGTAAGACATGCAAGTAATCAGAAGTACAGATAGTCACTAAAACACTTACACAGAAAATTTGTTACTGGCTCAGTCATTGTAAATGAAAACAAATATAACACAATGGTCAAGATACAATTTTACTAGACTGTATTGTCCTGCAATATAATTAGTATCGAAAAAAACCCTGAAAATTCAGTTTGTAGTCATGGATCCATGATGGTTCAAAAAAAGAAACATTTTATGTTGACTTGCACTGAATTATAAAAATAAATAGCTAGCCATGTCAGTTATGCTTGTCATGCTTTTTGTCAGGCCGGTTACTGAGATTACTGAATATATTTGCAAATCATCATCATAAGAACAATATTTGTCATATTCCACATGTTTAAAATTAGGTTTGGTAAAATGTCTACATATTGTAACAACCTGGCAGCCAACGGCCTCTGGCAGAACTGCCTTAACGCACGGGTTGGAAAACACTGTTAAAACAATGTAATGACCTCAGCATTCTATGCATGTCCATTTCCACTGCCATTCAACAAATTTCCAATAATATAAAACCAGTGTGGTTGCAAATAAATTTATAAAATGATTCTTTATGCTACTTCAGAGGATTCAAATTGATCAGCTATGAGGACACTCAAAAAAATAAGAAGCTTTATTTAGGATCATGATATTAAAAAGTACCTCTATCTCAAAGTAAAACAGTGAAAATTCTCCATAAACTGTCTATATTTCTTAGTGTTATAACAACCATGACATAATCTTTCTTCTCTTACACAGCGCCTAATTAACATAATAATTATGTTTGGTTATTTTTTTATTTTATGTTTAGTTATTTAGTCATTTAATTTGGCAGCTGGGTGGAAAACTGGCTATTGAGAACGACTCTATAGTGAAATAAATGTGCAGAATGCGTCATGTTTGAAAAGTGAAATTCAAATCTTGAAGCAGATAATTTGGCAAAAATGATTGTACATATATAACTATGGTGTATGATTTATCATCTACTAACTTTTTTCCCCAGAGTAAATCATCTAAAAATATCAAAACTTTTTGGAGTCTAATCCATAAGTACTTAAATCATACAATATTATCGAAACACGGTATAAGTTATTATTGTATGTTAAGCAGCAAAAATCATTGAAGCGAGTAGTCATTTCTGTCTAATGCTCTGCTGTGTTTTGTTGTCAGGTTTGCCGACTATGGCTGCATGCTGGAGGTGAGAGATGTAAAGTTCTTCCCAGATGGCCGCTCTGTGGTGGACACCATCGGTGTGTCTCGCTTCAAAGTTCTCACTCACGGCCAGAGAGACGGCTACAACACTGCAAAGATTGAATATTTGGAGGACAAGAAGGTAAAGGAGAGAGTGGAGTGCAAGTATGAGGAAAGAGAGTGATTCTCAGTAGTCTGTGTGAATGAGTGAAGCTGAGTGATTGGGAGAAATCGCTGGTCTTCCATCCTGACCTGGTTTGTGTGCATCACATTTAGGTTGAGGGGGAGGAGCTGACAGAGCTGTTAAAGCTGCATGACTCTGTGTATGATCAGGCCACAGCCTGGTTCACCTCTCTCAAAGACAACATGAAGAGCCAGATCCTCAGCCACTTTGGCCATCTGCCTGCCAAAGACCCTGACGCACAGGTGACGATTGGGAAAACAAATGTAACTCGTGTAGGGCTGGGCGATAACACCATAACAATAATGAATGAAAATGATAAAAACAATAAAGCATGTTTGAGTTTTTTCTGTTTAAATTTGGTTTCTGTTTGAGTTGGTATTAGCAGAAAAGGCTTGAACTTGTGTGACATTAGCTATTTCGTCAGTGGTGGTGCTGTGATTGGGCCGAGCGCGCATAGACCCACCCATTTTTATCATTGGCCCACCCAATCTATAATAATATTATTATTTTATTTAATATTAAAATCTTTTGAATAAACAAACTGGTACAGAAATAAAATCACACTCAATAAAATTACACATACTACAAGTCTCAGTGTAACAAATAAATATAACTTGCCATGGGTTTGCCTCTTGAGCAACAAACACCCAGCTACAGTTTGCAGCACTGAATTTATGAACTTCTCCTGAGTTTATTAGAAGTTTGAGTATGAAGGGTCCTGCATTAGCAGTGATCTCATCATTTTGGCCATGAATATGAGGAGGGCTGTTACATGGCTGTGAGGGTTAAAAGTGCATGAATGCAGCTTGTTTTTAAGCACAAAAGTAGCGCACCAGATAGGAGTTGATAAATACAGTAGCTGTACTGTATCATTTTGAACATGACACAATCATCAACCAGCTCATTAATACAAGGGCGTAAGTGTCAAACGACCGGCACGTAAAAAGTTATGTTGGTTATTGCATTTCTTGCTTTACACAAGAGAAACAAGTTAACTTTTTTCCCCCTCTGTGTTCTGGTCGACTGGTAAATCTGTCTGCTGCTGCTGGTATGTTTTTCTATCTGTGGTGTTTGAAAGACATGTAGAAAATGTCTGTGTTTATTTTTTGTAGCTTGTACTTTGTTACGCTAGGTAAAGCTGCGCACCGTTTTCTCCATTCACTTCACAGTGAGAACCAACAAGAAACTTTGGAAAGTCAGCTAGAGCTGCTAGAAATAAAGGCTACTAGTTTGAGGAAAACACTCCACAACAAGGAGATTGTGAACAAAAATAGCCACACATTCTCAGTAATGTGGAACTCAAAAAAAAAAAGAGAAGAAAAAAAGATTCATCAGATAATTTATAAGACGAAATTCATGTTTACCTGAAATCTTCCATCAGAATGTAATGTTTTTCCACTGGCCATGCACAAGCAGGCAGAGACGAATAATATTAGCCAATAATATTGTTAAACTAAACCTCCACCTCCCACCATCGCCACCTATCATCGAGTAGATGTAACATAGAGTAACGTTGTTTGAAAAGTTTGTCGGTGTGTGGCTACCAAAACCACCAAATAGTGAGTGCAATATCCACTAAATATAGTTGTGGTTTTACATATTTTTATATTGTCATTGTCTAAAGAAAAATCTAGTATTTCCGCCCTTTTTTTTTTTTAGATAATTATTTACTCAATTTTAAGATGAACAGGCCGATAGTAATGAGCCAAAATGACTGAGAACAAAATCTTGTTACTTTAACTCTGTTAGAGACTTTAACTCAGAAAGAAGTTGGAATGTTTTTCCTTCTCTTGTTACTTTTTTGGAGACACAAGGTTTGTCAAGACAACAAAATCTTTTCCTGATTCTTTTTGTTTTCTATTTTGGTGATAATCACATTAATGATGAAAATGAAGTAAAAAATTGGACAATAGGAAATGCACATAACAGTTAGTACTAACTAAAAAAATCATGATCTTCAATTAAAGCCAAATTGCCCAGCCCTACTAGTGCCTCTTGAGTTCCTCTTTTGATAGTAGCTGAACTGAAACATATGTGGTCCCAATATTTACTACCTGCTCAGTTGTATATGAGGAAATAATGATATAATGCAGAGCCCTTTAACTTTCCTCGCTCTGTTCTTCAGGGAAACCCGAGTGGGCCAGCATGGTGTTGGTGGCTGCTGGCCGTGTTGCCGTTGGAAAGCAGAGCTCAGCTTACCATCCTGGCTATGACCTCGTTGAAAGACCGGCTCATCGCCATCCGCCGGGTCCTCATCTTCGTCACCCGCAAGCGCCCTCGATGACCACAGCCTTCCTCGTAGCCACTGCCACCACCACAGTCATCATCCTCATCATTATCGTGCTGCCCAGCAGCATGAGCAACAGGTAGCAGGCCACTGAAGCGGCTTCCGTCGACTGTGGCTGTCCCATACTCAGCCATTTGTCTTTCACAGTAGGAAAACCGACGAGTCTTTCATCATTCGCCTAGTTTTTGAACCAAGTTTCACAACAGTGCACTGCTCCAGAAGTAAAGACTCTCCGGTATGTGCTCTGCCTCTGCAAAAAGGCAAGAGCGACTGACTTTCTCCAACTCCAGTAGCTTCAGACATTTAGTCTGCTGAACCAGAAGCACTACAACAGCTAAAACAAACATTGTACAGATTTCACCTCTGCTTTTGTGCCTCTTTTTGGTGTGTACGGCTGACCAAACGCTTCTCATAGGCCTTCAGGCATCTTTACTGGCCTAACAGCTTGTTTGTGTTTTTAAAATCTGCAATTTTGTACCACCCTAAAAAAAAGGCCCCATTTTGCACATTTCAGGTCTGAAATCATGCAAAACATCATTAGAAAACAGCTTTTGTAATCCATTAGTAAAAATGGTCTTTTAGTTATCCATGTCACAGTGCAGTTTAATCAAGACTGAATTGGCATAATAGGGAACACAAATCATTGGCTTTTTGGTGAGCGTGTGGAATATAGATAGTGTGAGAAATTTTGGGAAAGATTTGCCTTCCATTTTTTATTGAAACATCTTATTAAAGCCTGGCACGATGCCATTTTGGTAAAATGGAAATTATATACTGTTTGAAAAGGAAAACAAAAAAAAATGGAATGACTTTACACTTTATTTACACTAATTTAAAATTGCACATTGTACTCACAGTTATGTTTATGCAATATTAGTGGCTGATTGAATCATATTAGTCTCATATGGGAATAATCTCGCCTGTCAAATGCAATTTAAACTTGAATTTGAATGTTTAAATTTAGGAAATAGGCTTGTTGAAATGATGTCTGCGGTCATTTTTTGTCATGTACCATCTCTGAAAGACAGTTGTTATGCATGTATTGGTGTGATGTAGGTGGCCAAAAAAAGCTAATGAGGCCCAAGTTACCATCATCTGACAGACAAAATGATGTATAAAGATATAGTGTGCATTGGAATTTTTCTAGTCACTAACTCCCTTGTGTATTGTATGATGTAGTATATTTGTATGGTGCACCTTTTTGTGGATGGTTTGCCTGTTTGTCCATGTTGGTTCATCTGTGTACAGACAAATTGGAGGCCTTTAAGTCATCTTTACGTTTTTCAGCCGTGGCAGTTTTTCTTTTTTCTGTGATGTACAAGACTCCCTTTGCGTGTGTTTTTTTTTTTATTATTTTATTTTTTTTTCCATGTACCATCTCCTGTCGGTAACTACACAGATGCTGCATTTTTTTCATGTAAATTTGTACGTTAAGATGAAATTAAACTTATTTTATATTTTAAATCAAACCAAGCCAGTGTTGCCTGTTTCTTGATGAGGCTTGTGTTCTTGTCTGTTCAGGAAGTGTTGACGTTTGATAACAGTCCTCGTTCTATTGTGTTATTCAGGTCAGCAGTCACGTTGTGATAATTACGAGGACACTGCACTCTGATGTGTTTATGGCTGCACATGGGCGATTCAGGTGGCTGACCCAATTTCTGAGCAGTAAAACGTGCTTATATGGAGATTCATATTGCATGTTTCATCACATCCTTTTCTTCTACCGGGGAAGCGATGTGACGTAGTACACTTGTTAAATTAAATGAGTCACTAACCTGACAGGAAGGGAAAGGCTGCATCGTTCATCAGAAGAATAATTTGACATCTGTGGCTGTGGTGTTAAGGCACATGCAACCTGAAAGTGAACCTAAAATCTCATTTAATCCAGTCAACCTAAAATGACCCATAAAAAGTGTACCAAACTACTTGTTTTCCACTCATCTTTCATTACAAATCAAATGACTTTTAGCCAGCTTTACAACATCTGATTTTTGGATACGTCACTGTGTATCAGCGGGTTGGGACGTCATAGTATGGGCACATACAGTTCATGCTGACTTTTTAATACTCCAGCATTGTTCAACCTAATCTCTGTCTACTGCATCTGTAGCACATGGTCGCTTTCTACAGACGATTTCAACACATTTACCTCCTTTGCACACTCATAATAGAACTCCATTACCTGCCCATTGGCTTCTATTATAAATGTGTTTTGTGGCTGCAGGTTCATCCATCCAACCAACCATCATCTAAACCGCTTATCCTTCTGGGTCACGGTGGGGTGCTGGAGCCCATCCCAGCTGTCATTGGGCAGAAGGCAGGATACACCCCGGACAGGTCGCCAGTCCATCGCAGGGCAGACAGACATACACATTCACACACACACTCACACCTAGGGGCAATTTAGCACGTCTGCAGGTTCAATTGAGTCAAATTTATCATGTGGTAATTTACTGTATATTACAAATATGGCAGATGAGATCAGATTGAAGAATGCAGGAGTATTACTTTCTCTTTGCTTTCTGTATGAACATAATTTTGACTTCAAGCATTTTCAGACCTGTAAGTAACGCATACAGTTGTATGCAAAAGTTAAGCACCCCATGCCAAATTACATGTTTTGTTGAAAAATGAACATCCTCTAACAAAAACATAAAATGACCTTTCTCTGCACATGTACTGCCCAATTTCTAATTGTGTTAAGTGTAGCATATTGGAAAAAAGTAAAACATAAAATATATATCAGTAGATATACAGTCATTGTGTATTAAATGGTGCAAAGGTGTGCTCCCTGTAGACGATGTGCTAACTTATCGTCACTTAGAAATTTGACCAGGGGAACCCAAACTTTTGAATACGACTGCAGCTGTATAGCTGTAGTGTCGGTTTGAGTCTAATTTGATGGAATACAGAACGAGCGATATTGTACAGATCACAATGCAATCCATTAGAAATGGCAAAGGAACCTTAGCATTACATTACATTAACATTACATTAAGTACTCTGCAGGTGGAAATGTACAGCATGTAAGTCAGCTCACACACAAGGTGGCGGTCTTTACAAGCTCATTGGTGTTCTCTCAACTTGACTTCAAGAGAAAAGTGTAGATAAGTTGTAATGTTTTATTATGGCATATAGTTTATTGCATGCCAGCATACAAAGCTATTCAAATAGGAAGCGGTCTACGTTTATGAATGATCTGGGATCAGCCTGATCCTTTCAAACTTTCACATCTCAAAAGAAGAAACTGATTCTTGGTATGTTTGTGTGTGTGTGTATATATATATATATATATATATACACACACACAAACATACCATACAATATATATTATTTGCTATACGTTCTGGGTGTGTTAGGCACAAGAGCAGAATAAGAATATATACCGATCAGGCATAACATTATGACCTTGTTTCTACACTCCTTGTCCATTTGGATCAGTCTCAGCACTGCAGTAACACTGACATGGTGGTGGTGTGAGTGGATCAGACACAGCAGTGCTGCTGGAGTTTTTAAACGCTGTCCACTCTATTAGACGCTCCTACCATGTCAGTCCACCTTGTAGATGTAAAGTCAGAGACGACAGCTCATCTGCTGCTGCACAGTTTGTGTTGGTCATCCTCTAGTCCTTCATCAGTGGTCACAGGACGCTGCCGACAGGACGCTGTTGGCTGGATATTTTTGGTTGGTGGACTATTCTCAGGCCAGCAGTGACACTGAGGTGTTTAAAAACTCCAGCAGCACTGCTGTGTCTGATCCACTCATACCAGCACAACACACACTAACACACCACCACATCAGTGTTATTACAGTGCTGAGAACGATCCACCACCCAAATAATACCTGCTCTGTGAGGGTCCATGGAGGTCCTGACCACTGAAGAACAGGGTGAAAGGGGACTAACAAAGTTTGCAGAGAAACAGATGAACTACAGTCTGTAATTGTAGAAACTACAAAGTGCACCTATATAGTAAGTGGAGCTGATAAAATGGGCAACGAGCGTAGAAACAAGGAGGTCATAATGTTATGCCTGATTGGCAGTATGCAATATGAGTGCATCATACGCATAGTGGACGTATGCAGTATAAAATAATATACAGTTCTATCATATAGAAAGTTAATTGAAATAGCCAGTGTATACGTGTGCATTTGTACAGTTGTGTAACCTGTGCATGTGTGCAGTGTACTTTCTGTAATGTTCTAGGGTGTTTTATAAAAAAATAGCATGTGACAAGCTGTCATGACAGCTACTGGTAATGGTAACATGACATGGTTACATTACTGAATAAAATCTCACATGAAAGCATATGACATCTGCCATAACGTGTATGGTGTGGTTATTTCAGGGTTATCATACAGCCTTACCACCATCATATAGTGTCAGAAACTACAGAGGCAAGTCCCTTTGAGATTTGGTCAGTGTTGGATATTTGTATCACTGTCAAGCCTGTAACAGCTTCTGAAGTCACTGTCAGTAAGATGCATCATCCGTATCTGACTCAGCAATGAATGAGCATTCAAAACCATGCAGTTACATGACCACTTAACACTGAGAAGCTGCAGTACGTGAGGCTTCACATGTGCTTTTGTGTAATGTGCAAACATTGTGTGAACACATTCATGGAACAAAATCATAATTTTCTCCTTATACCAAATGTACACAATTGAGAAAGGTGGTTCTTCAAGGGTTCTTTAGTAAAGGCAGTGGTTCTATTTAGGATCATGAGTGCTTAAATGGTTCTTTGCATGGTGACATGGTTATTCAGATTGTGTATGCTTCTATGTAGAATCTTTTTGAAAATGTTCTATGTAGCTCCAAAAAGGGTTCTGCTACTGTTACAATGTCAAACTTGTAACATTAGAAGAAGCCGTTTTGGTGCTATATAGAACCATATATAACATATTCTCCATCAATCTGAAGAACTGTTTCATCATGCAAAGAAATGGCTCTATACAGAACTCATGGTCGTAAATAACCATTGCCTTTACTAAAGAATCCATGAAGAACCATCTTTTTCAGCCAAAACATGCTTGGTGTCTGAAGTTTGCACTGGAGCTATGAGGCTAATGCTAACAAGTAATATATATAACAAGTAATAAGTTTATATTGCGCTAATTAGCATTAGCATGCCTCACTCATCACACAGTTACTTTAAATTGCGTAAAAGTGTTTCGTAATTTCAAACAGACGGTTTATGAAAACTTATACATTATGTTTTACAGTAAAAGAGACAACATGTTGTGTAACTAGTAGCTTGAAGCTTGAAATGTGTCCGTACTTCCGGTCTAGAAGTTATTGTCAAACATCATTCATGTACTGATGAATGGGTTTGTTTGAATTATATTTGATTTACTATTGTTTTTAGAAGGAAAGTATACGAGGTACAGCTAGAAAGAAAAAAGGCCAAAAATAAAAGTACAAAATAAGGGCTGAAGATGAGATGCTCGGAATAATCATATTCCCAGGCTTCATTTGAGCCTGCAAATTATTCACTCCATTTGAAGGAAGTCCAGCGTGCATATACAAGACATGCCCAAACATGTCCTTTTGTTGTAGCTACTATGATTAACGCTAGTGCAGCATTCGGCCCTTTGTGTGTATCTTGACAGATTGGCAATGGACCCATTTACACGTCGGCTTTATGAGACGGAAAATAAATGCTATACACATATGGGTAGACAATATGACACGCCTGTGACATTTTAGGTTTGCTGTCCATTTCAACTGACAATAGAGAGTTATTTCTCCTCAGCCTGAGAAGTGTGGACATGTATTCACATACAGCGCTGGCTCAGGCTTTTGTTTAATTAAATGGCATTTACAACGATGTTACTATCAAGTATTATTATTAGTATTATTAAGTAATGCAGAGTTACACAGAAGGTTAGTAATTTATCAGATTGTTCCTGGATTGTCAGTTATAAGGCCCCTTTATAGTGGTATATGATTAGCTTAAGCTTTACATACAGTGTTAAAGGAGCATTTACACTGACTTGAGATCCACTTACTGTTCTTCGTTTTATTATTCTACACTTTTGTTTGTACTGTTTTCATGGGTCACATTTTAGCTGCCTAGCAACACTCTAGCAACCACCTGGAATGTTACAGCAATGGTCTAGCAACACCTCAACCACCCCCAGGGTTCCATAGCACTTTAGCATCCACTTAGGATTTCATAGCTACAGCACTCCATAGAAACCACCTGGGATTCCATAGCAGTGGCCTAGCAACACGTTAGAAACCACTTGGGATCCCATAGCAACAGCCAAGCAACACCCTAGCCACCACCAGGGATAACATAGGAATGGTTTTGCAACACTTTAGCAACCACATGGGAGGTCACAGCATTGGGCTAGCAACACCTCAGCAACTGCTTGGGATTCTGTAGAAATGGATTGGCAACAGCTTAGCAACCTTTAGGACTCCATAGCAACAGTCTTGCAACATCATAGAAACCACCTGGCGTTC